CCTTTAAAGTTGTCCAAATGAAATTCTTAGCAATGCATATTAGTAATCAAAAATTAAGTTTTGATATATTTATGGTAAGAAATTTACAAAATATCTTCATGGAACATGATCTTTACTTAATATCCTAATGATTTTGGATACGATACGATGATTTTGACCCATACAATGTTTTTTTGGCTATTGCTAAAAATATACCCCAGCAACTTAAGACTGGTTTTGTGGTCCAGGGTCACATTTATATTTATGCATTTAGCTGATGCTTTTATCCAAAATGATTTACAATGGAGCAACATAAGCATTATTTATGATTTTACATTCAGCATACCTGATATCTTTCTTCAGAGCCAACAATATTTATAGTACACAATGCCAGGTTTATTAGAAAGCTAGACTACTGTAGGTTATGTTTATTTAATTTATTTAGGGTTTTAATTTATTCTAATGTAATTTAAATTTCTAGGTGAATTTTTTATTTAGGTTGTTATGCTTATTATATTTATCTTATTTATAGCAAAGAATATTTGGACGTTATACTGCTATAAGTTTGTTTCTGCGTTTATTATGTTTACAAAAAAATAAGAGTCTGAAAATGTATTGATATATGGTTTTTCCATGACAGCTATAACTTCATAAACACTTTTGCTGTAAAGAACGATATTGGTGATTTGTTCGGAATTTCCAGTCCATTCCCAAGACTATCAGAACTGTCGAATTCGTATTTCTGTGTAAATCTGTATTTGGTGACATATTTAATCAGCAGAATTCACCCTCTCCTCCATGGTGTCCCAGGCTTTTCTCAATGCCATCTGCTCCTCACTTGGTTTAGCGCAACGTCTCATTGCGCTGAGAACTGTAATAACTGGACGTCGCTGGTCATAATAAGTCCCCACAAAGTTCTGAAATGCCTTGGGTAAAAACATAGACACAAATTTAGGGCTTGTCAAAGTGCGTGTTGTACATTAGGAAGTAATGATTTACCATTTTACATTTAGCATACCTGATACCTCTCTGCATATCCATTCCCCTCTGTGGAATTCCATGCCTCCAATAACTCCTGATAGGCTCGCTCTAGCCAGCATTTAATCTCTCTGGCTTTCTGAGTGGGTGAAGCCTGAGGGCAGGGCAGGAAACATAGAACGGAATTAAAGATTGAGTGTCAAATCAGAAAACATGCTGAAACAAGTAAAGGCTGATTCTGGAATGATATTTTGACAGAGGAAAACTGTGGAGGAATTCACAAGCGCTCTGGGACGTCTGTACCTGGTGGAGTGGGGAGGCCAGCACAGCAGGAGTGAAGTATGTAGGGAGGTTGACAGGAGAAAGGCATGTGGGAAAGAGTAGAGATTGAAGCTGCTTCCAACCAGGAGGGGGCAACAGAGAGTAGGAGGAAGTGAAGTTGGAGGGCGGGAAAGGGGGTTAGAAAGAGAAAGAACATAAGAATGAATAAAGAAAGGCAGACCAGCAAAAGCACAGATGCAGATGGGAGATTCAGTTGGAGGTGGTCTTACCTCAAAATCGTCATCAGCTACGGGCAGATCGTTGGAGTACTGCAGGAACTGAGCAATGTATGTCATGATAGACTTCTCATCAGGGTTACTGACATCAATGTCTGAGAGGAAAGATAATTTAAATGTACATAAACCGTCAATAATCTTTAAAAGCACACTAGATTGTACACTAGACCAGGGGTTTTCAAACTTTTTGATGCCCAGGGCCCCAAAACATGATCCCTTTGCAAAGTAACTTGTTACTAAAATACAAAGGCTCCTGTATATTTTCATGTATAAAGACTTGCTTATATTGTATGAAAAATATAAAAAATATTCTATAGACATATTTAAATGGGCTTTTATACTGCCATTATAATTAGTGATTTATCATATCATATTATTATTATATTAATATATTATAAATATAAATATCTGGGAAATATTTACTATTTATGTAGTATTGACTATTTATCTATTTTCCACCCACTATTAGAGCAGTGGTTCTCAACCTTTTTGACCCACATTTTCACAACATTTTCCACAAAAATATTTGTAGGCCCCATGACTACTCCAGTTGTTCATAATTTACTGGAAAATAACTATTTTGTATTCACAATTTCTACCCAATAAAATAGTTTAGCTTGGTAAGAAAAATGACTATAGTAGTAACTACAAAAATGTAGAAAAATGTTTATTTATGATAAAAATGCTTGTAGTTTTACAAATGTACTAATATACGTGGCTTTTCCATAAGTGACTTCTTTTCTAAAAATCACATTTTTAAAATTAGGCTACTTTATAAATCCAGGTTTTTCATATTAAAATAAGAAATATCTTGTCTTGTAGTTGTTTTGTCTTATTTTAAATTATGTTATGTTATGGCACCTTGGATGTTTGCTGAGGCCCAACTGGTTGAGAACCACTGTATTAGAAAAATAAATAAATAAATGGCTAAATACAAATAAATAAATATATTGTTTTTATTTGTTTGTTAAAAAAATAGCACTATGAATAGATCATTTTAATGGATAATGCTGCTAAAAGCCATTACCTTCTGGCTCGAGCAGTCTGGGAATTCTGAGCTCCTTCTCAGCGAGGTGAAATGCCCTCTCCAAGTTTTCCCGGTGGCTGCTGGTCTGGACTTGAGAGAGGTCCACCAGATCAGGTCTAAGAGAGCAGAGGATGGCCAGAAACACCTCACCACTCCTCCAGCTGGACTTAAAGTCCCTCACACTGGCTGAGCAACCAACTCTTGAGAAAGAAAACAATAATTTTAGAGGAACGATTAAACAGACTAAACAGTTTGATTAAACATTCACAGTGCATGAAAGCATAAGCTAGATAAAGCTCACTTCTGGCACTGGTCCCGAACCCACAGGAGCAAAGCCTTCTTAGCAGACAGACGGAAGCGGGTGCGGAGCGGTGATGCTCCTCGAGGAACAGGACTACTGCGTGGAGATCCAGGAACAGAATCTAGACTGGACAGAGAATCCAGGGAGGATGAACGGGATCCGTAAGAGAGAGTGCTGGCTAGCTCCTCTATCTGTAGTAATGAGGAGAAGTGAGCATGTTTAATACAGATGTCAGTTCATACATTCACAAGAAGGCATATATATATAGCACTGTGCAAAAGCCTTAGGCCATTAGTATTTTCACCAACAAAAAAATAGGTTTAAGCCAGTTATTTTTATATCTTTTGCTGTAGTGTAAATGAGTAGTAAAAAGCGGGTGATGATGGCATAAATGACTGGTCATATTCAATCATATGGCACTCGCATTGAACAAAGTTTACAAAGAGTGACTGGTTTGTCCACGTTTCTTTTTTTTTTGTTCATCGCTGTTGTTGTAATGTATTTTACATTTTGAACAGTAGTGTATATAATGGCATACATTTTGGCATATTTTCACCCTTAAACCAAAAGCCTTATATGACTAAACAGAACCACTGAACTCATTCAACCCATGTTCCCTGACATAAAAATATCTTCTGTAATGCGTAATACTATATGCTTCTTATGTGCATTACTATTTTGATATTCTTTTCTCTTCTGGAAGAAATAAGAGTCTCACATCTCAAAAAGTACAGGCCCACTCTGAGCTAAAATGCTAAAGGTCTTGAAGTAAACAATGAAGAAAAAAAAACAGCTCAAGGCAAAGAAAGATGCAAGTATATATGATATGCTAGTTTTTGTAAAGACACATAGTGTTTTCATTGTTATACTCACGTGACAGTGCAGAATGATGGTCCATATCAGGCCCAGAATGATGGAAGGTTTCCCCTCTATGATGTCTGGGATGTTTATGTTCACCAGCTTGATCTGAGAACATAAACAGTTGTTTACCTCATTTGTATATAAATGTTAATGTCCTTAACAGATGGAAAATAATCATCAGTCTTGTAAGAATCACAAAACTCTTACCGATTTATTCTTCAAGAAGTTCAAAGCAGTCTCAATGTTGCCTCTCTGCTGAAACACACCATGACCCCGCTCGCGCTTCTACAGAGAAACAAATACACTCTATTGTATGCAGCATTTTTAAACATTTCCATGATTCACTATAAATAAATACTTTCTTGGTTGAATCTCAGTGTGATATTCAGCACTCACCATGCGTTGGCCACTCATCACCTCCAGCAGGTCAAGCAGTCGAGTCCCATCTCGAAGATCTGAGAACAGATCCTGGACAACAGTTGGATGGCTCCTCTGAAACACACATTATTATTTTATCTGAAAGTTTTAAAGGTGTTCACAGGGCAATACATGGAGCATTCCTAATGTCAAGCTCTGGTGGCAGAAGTACCAATAAACAGAGAATTACACCAAGCATGTATTAAAACAAAAAAAATAATAGAAATAAATATTTTAATATATTAATATAAATTATTAATATTAACCCTAAAGCCAACTGTATCATCTAAATGCATGGCTAAAATATGTAAATGATCAACATGATCAAAATTTTGCTGAAAAAAAAAAGAACATCAATCTACACACAATCTACTACATGCCATCTGTCATCTAATTGATAGTTTATACTTTTTTGGTCATATAAATATCAGCATTTGCACCAAATTACATATTTTTGGTCAGTTTGAGCCGCTGAATAAAATTAAGCATTTTTTTCCTCTGAGTATAACCTCTGTATTTTTCTATATGAAACATAAAAGCCTGATGTATCATAAATGAGTCAATTTTTTTTCTAAATGTTAAATAAACTGTTCCATTAAAAAAAATACAATTTAATACAACTTAATACAATTTATTTTATGCATCTTTTATTTATATACAATTTAATTGCAAATGGTGGGTATTTTAAACATAATTAATTCATTATGACTGTTCTTTTTATATATATATTGTGTGGGGTTTTTTTTTACTTATAAATGCAAAAGCAAATTGACTGACAACAGTGGTGATGCACAAAAGACCTTTGGAATATTTACTAGTCTTCTTTTACAGTAGACCGATATGACACTCGCTCGAAATATAATTTCACCAACAAAAAAAAAAAAGTCGTTTGGAATTTAGTGTTGATATTTTGTGATATTTGAGTAGTAGTTCATGCATCACAGAGTTAATCTGATGTAAAAGGATGCAACACTCTAGCTATACAGAGACTGCTCTGCAGATCACTGGAGCTCTATACAGGTTATCACTTGCAGGTTTAAGAGCGCTTGTGTTTAAAACGCGGCCAAGTGGTGGTGGACGGGCTAAATGGCTCATGTTACAGGCTGCTGAAGTGTGCTGCTGCTGGCGGGGAACTATAAATAAATCAAGCTCCTTGCCATATGCAATGCTTAAAGGCAGAAGAGCAGAACAGACCTTCCTTGCTGACCAGTGAGTCAGCGATTCAGCTACAGCCTCAGTTTGACTCTAAACTTTTTAGACTACATAGTCAGACTACATAGTCATAGTATGAGTTGTTCTTGGGTTTACCTTGGAGAACTGTGCATTGATCCAGTTTGTGAATGTCCTCTTCTGAATCTGCTCCTGTTCCACTGTTAATAAAATAATATTACATCAGATAGGATTTATTCCTGGACCAAAATCACAGTTAAAAAAAAACTGTGTATGTATGTGTAGGAAACCGTATGAGCATATTGGCACAACTAGAATATATCCATGCAAAAGTATTTAGACATCTTGCCAGAGGACAACTTTGGGGCTTTCTGGTTTATAGCACATCAAAAACACAGCATGTCTTCATTCATAACTATTTATAAGCAGAGAACATTGCATGACCACTGGAAACCTGGCTCGACTTACCGATCTCTGAGCCGCCAACGGCCTCCACCTCAAACAAGGTTATGAGAGACATATTGCTTCGTTTCTGTATGAAATTTTCTCTCATTTAGTGTTTCCATGAACACCAATGCAGACACTCAGTCGGCTTAACCAGCATCCCATCCCATCACTGTTGTATTTAATTTAAACTTCTTCCCATGCTATAAAAGGTAGACTGGGCCTTTCCCTCAATAGGAGATGTTCATTTAGCTTCATGGGACAGGATCCAACAGGCCGAGTCAGTAATTTATCTTGACAGTGCCCTTAAGACACTGGATATCCTGTTTGCACAGCCACAAATGCACTTAACTGCTGTACAATGATGTTCCCTCATGACATACAGCAATATACATTTCAATAAACAATGGAGTTCAAAAAAACTGAAAGTTTCAGGATTTAAAATAATTTAAAACTAAGAAATATTTAGTCATATATGCAAATATTTAAATAAAATTAAATTAACCAAAAATAAAATTAACAAAAATTAAATTAAATTCACCAAAAAAAAAAAGAAAAAAGAAAAAAAACAACTACGATAAAACGAAAAACTAAATTGAAATGTTGGTGTTACTCAGGGTTATTATAGTTAACTAAAATTAAAACCATAGAGAAAGAAAAATGAAAATAACTCAAATATTTGTGGAGACGTGCTGAAATCGCGTTTGGTCTCGTACTGTATAGCGTACCTTGTCAGTGTCGTGCGCTTTGCTTGGCCATTTGTTGTGATAAACAGGAAAGTGTGTCCAGCTGAATTCAATTTGAGTTTTGTTAAACGAATAAAAAAAGCTTAGTTTACCACTTAGTGTTATGTTAGAATCATTATTATACTCATACCTTTTGTTCTTTTGATATTTTTGAATTGTTTTTAGCTTTATTTTTTTGTTTTCATTTAAATGTTTTAGTTTTGAAATGTTGTTGTATGCATTTGTCATTTTTATTTAATTTCTTTTATTTTCTTAAAAGCTTTTAGCTTTTCGTTTTAATTACTTTTTCTTTCTTTTAATATTTTGAATTGTTTTTAGCTTTATTTTTTTGTTTTCATTTAAATGTTTAGTTTTGAAATGTTGATGTACGCATTTGTCATTTTTATTTAATTTATTTTATTTTCTTAAATGTGTATATATATAGTATTTATAGAGTTTTAGCTTTTAGTTTTAATTACTTTTTCTTATTTGTAAGTCGCTTTGGATAAAAACGTCTGCTAAATGACTAAAAGTAAAAGTAAAGTAAAAGTAAATAAAATAAAATAAAAATTTAAACCATTACTTAAACAAGTTGCCAATGCAACATATCTAATTTTACTGTACTAAAATAACTATAACTGAAATAAAAATTTATAAAAAACTACATGCATATATACATAAACTACTAAATATATAAAAACACAACTACTAAATTACAAACTAATTCAATCTAATTCAATCACATCAAAATTACTACAACTAAAATAAAAATGGAAAATATAAAAATAAAAACTAGGGCTGCACGATAAATCGCATGTGATATTTAACGCGCATCTTGTCAGAAAACCCGGTTCTGTAATCAGTGGTAAATCTCCATCACGTGCGTGCTTTCACATTGAGCAGCATTAAAGGCAGAGTGAGGGATTTCTGGTAGCCAATGTTTATATTTGAAATCACCAAAACAAACACGCCCCTACCCCAAAAGGGTCTTGCCCCTATTTTGATAGCTCCGCCCCACATATACGTACGCAACCCAGGCCACGATTAGTTCTGTGAAACAAAGCAAAACCAATGTTACACCGTGTCTACGGACGTGAGCAGCGCGGCGCAACAAATCCCCGACAGAAAACTGCTGCCGGGTTCTATTTATGACATGCTGACACAAATTTCAAATGGTTTTCAACGGTCGTTTGATCGCGTCCAGTGTAGGCAGACTTTAGCTGTTGTAGACACGGTGTTACTCACCTACTGAGAAGAAACATAGCAACCTCGGCGTCCGATCGCAGGCCTCCACTCCTTGAGTTCTCTCCAGCGCTGGAAAGCTGATCCGATATTTACACGGGTCCTACTTCTTGCCTTATCGTTCCGCAGACGTTTTCCTCTTTTGTTTTTTATCCGCCATCCCTATCTTTCTGTCGCTCAGCTCGGCTAATGTCCGTCCCATGCACTGAACGCGCTCTCCTCCACATCACGAGTAGACACGCCCCTTATTGCTGATTGGCTACAAGTTTGTTTTGCGATTCGGCCCGAATCAGTTTTCTAAAGTGTTTTTGAAAAATCACATACCCTGCCTTTAAAAACAATACAAGAAGAACATCAGTCAAGTTTTTCCTCCTCTTTAAAAGAACCAGGCTTAACTTTGACCAACTTACCTCTCGTGCTCACCACACTCAGCAAAACATTTCTGTTTCATCTATCAACATAGAGTAAGATCTTATGAACTGAAAATACAAAGTCCCCTATCACCAGACTCTAGAAACCCACTTGTGGTTCCCATCAGTAGAAGATGAAATATTAGACTAGATACGATTCTGCTGTTATAAAGACATTCTTCACACTGTCAGAAACGCCCCTCTCTGGAATTCCATTCTTATTATGAGACATGTTTAGCAGTATGTTTATTTGTATTTTTGAGGGCTTTAAAAGCTACAGTATGTGAAACAGGATATGCAGCATTCATGCACCACTATTACTTGTACTTGTAGCCATCTTTAAAATTGGTAGGATCCAATGGCTACGTACTGACACTCAGATTTCTGGCACTGCACATGGTCCGCCATACCCAGCCGCTTTCAGGCATCCCATTGGAAGTATTTAGGATAGAAGTAGGTGGATGAAAGTTATATTTCATATTTTATATATACTCTCTATGCCTTGTGTTTGTATGAAAATGCATGCTGGTTGTTTCAGCCAGTCTCTGTACATGAAACCATTTATTGATTGTGTTTATCATCTTACAGTTGATATGCTGCATAACAGTATGAATGAGAATTGACAAATTATCCTGGCAGCTGTATTTAATTTCAAGGCCTTGAGTCTTTGAAGTATAGAACATATAGCTTTGGGAGTCAATTTAAAAGTTATTTTTGAAGAACTTCCAAAGAGAAAGATATGTATGTATAAATATAAATTATTAATATTCGAGATGTCCTTAATCCCTCAGCAAAAATTGTTTTCCTCCCAAGAGAAAACAGTTTTGTACGCTGTATATTCCTGGACTTGTATTGCACACAGTTTTATAATTTCACAAGTGCAGGCAGTTTAATATCAACAGACTGCTTTTATGAGTCCAGCCGAAGGGAATCACTCACATGAGCTGTCAGTGTGTTTACAGAGTTAAGAGAGGCAAGTCAATGTGCTGGAAGGCTAGTCACACTATGAAAGCCCAGCTGTTGCTAACAGTGTGTGGGAAAGAGGAATCAGAGGTAAGCGCTCAATGATCACTAGGTCATGTGACATACATTCCATGTAGCTCATATAACTTTTAACCAACTGCAGTGACAGCCTTACTGAACCAGGCATGTGAAGGTCTTTAGTGTTTGATTGACAAATATAGAGACTGATAAAATGAACAAAGCGTCTGTTTCAGAATGAATTTGGCATCTGCTGCATGAATGAAGATAGAGTTTGTAATTTCATAGGGTGTTGGATGGCTTTTGGCAGGCGTTGCTTTGTAAACTTGCCTGCCATTTTTGTCCTGATTGGAAGTGCACGTCAATACACCGGCATTCTAGGGCACCACATTTACGAGGTTATCTCTGATATGGTCAGTGTGGGAAAAATTCATCGCTGGCACAGAGAATACCGTAAATCTTTAATTTAGTTGCTGGAGTGGCTCTAACATAGCAATTTATTCATTCAAAGACTTTGCTGTCTGAATTTTGAAAGAATAATGGCATTTTTACGTGATTGGAGTCCTGACAGTATATCTAGTGTTCTTGAGGCTGATTTGCTGAGATATGCATATGTGTCTATTTATGGCTCTGTGTGTGTATGGAAGCAGTTGATCTGTATCGTGTTGGGGGAGGAGCCATCCATTAATATTCCTGAGAGAAAATCAATGTGCGCCACACTGTTTTCTTGGTTTTGTCTTTCACTTTCTGCTAATATATCACATGGATTAAGTTTCTTGACGGATTTACAAATTGGAACAGAACAGTCTGCATCGCTCGGCACGATTACAGGCCTCTCTGTGGCTGTCGATTGGACGCCTCAATCTCAATCTATCACAAAGCACTGGGTAATTTTAGTTCAGGCAGAATTGCACAGAATAAATGAATCAAACGCAGTGCTTGAATGTTGTGATAATGAGAACTGGGAGGAGCCATTATTCTGCTAAATCCATATAGTCAAGATGTCAGTGTAATGCTGACAGCTGTGATGTTGAGGACAAGCAAACCCAAGCCACACAACTGACCTCAGAGAGTGAAGTCAGCAAAGTGATAGTGATAGGCTGTAAGCTCCTCCCACAAAGATGCCCATCCACTTCCTGTGCAAGACGTGATTCCCAGTGATGTGTACTATGATGATGTGTGTTGCGTACTTTGGCCATTTGCATTATGAGGTTATAGGGGCTTTTTTTCTAAACTTATTAGATGTCTCTTTTATGTCAAATTCGTACATTTAATAAATAAATTCATTTATCAACAAAATCCATTTTTGCACAGCAGAAGTGACACAGAAGCTGCATCTGAAGCAGCATTTAGATTTATTTACACATGTATTTACACTTAAAATACAGTGAAATAATT